GGGGGAGGGAGGCGGTGGCTTCGAGAAGGGGACAGGATATAATAGAGGGGAGGGGTGGGGCGAGGGAAGGGAAGGAAGGGAGGGGGAGGGACGGACGGCGCGGCGGCTTTGGCCTTTGGGATATTGTGTTGGCTTGCGCCGAGTACGTGGTTGCGTCGCGGGGCGAGGACGGCAGGCTGGCAGGGTTTGGTCGGTCGGCGACGGGGTGCGCCGACTCCCGCTTTTCCCGACGCCTCGTCGCTTTCTCCCTTTCTTTCTTTCTTTCCTCCCTCCGGGTGATGCCTACGCACGCAATATACCCTCTGCTGCTGGGGCATGGGGTTTCTTAGCTTGAGCCCGGATGAACGAAAAAACAGAAAATAATAAAAAAATTCTGGGTTTTTCTCTGGCAAACATTGAGAAATGTTTTAAGTGCTTGCAATTTTTCATCATTCAATCACATTCGTGGAACTCGTCCAAAGAAAAATGATGGTCCAAAGATGCTATTTTCGAAAGCATTTTGGAGCACTGGCTTTATCTTTTTTGCCACGACATCCACAAATGTCATATGATGATGAAAATTTGCAAACACTCGGAATATTTTTTTTTAATGTTTGTCACATCACAAAAGGTACAGCTTTTTTTTAATTTGCTTTGAAATTTTTAACTGTTCATGCCAACAGTATTTGAGCTCGGCTGAGATTAGGACTTTTGTTGATGATGCTAATTTGCTGTTGCTGCTCCTTCGTTTGGGTGCGTCGTGGCTCCGCCTGTGTGCTCGGGCACGGGTGCTGCACCTGCGCGCCCGTCGCCTGCTTCTACCCGTGCAACGCTGTTGTGGTGTTGGTCATGTTGCGTCGAATGGTGAATGCTTCCATGGATCAATGGACACTGTCAAAAGCTTATAAAAAAATCCTTACCAAATTCAAGGTGCTTGGGAATAGTACTGTGAAAGGCTGCCTCGGGGATCCTATACTGCGCACGGGTCGGGCGATAGCGTCAAAACACGCACATCTGCTCGCGGTAATGGGTCATCTGTTAGTCTGTTTCTTTATTTGTTTTCTGTTTGTCTTCTTTTTTTCCTTTTTAAATTGGTGAAATTTTTTTAAAATCACAAACAATTACAAATTTAAGATTCTTTTTAAGTGTGTTTTTTATTTTTTGCAAAATTTTATGAAAATCGAGAATAATTTTAAACTTTGCAAAATTTTACGAAAATCAAGAACAATTTCCAATTCAATGAATACTTCTCAAACTCCCGAGAATTTTGTAAATTCTTGAACATTTTTTGATTTTTTGAACATTTTTTAACTCATGGAAAAATCATGAAAATTTGGTAAATCTTTATATTTTCGAAAAAAATCATGAGCATTTTTCAGAATCATGAACACTTTTTGAAATCGCAAACATGTTTCAAAATCCGAGAACATATTTCCAATTCGGAAACAATTTGAAATTCGCCAACATTTTTTTAATTAAGGATACTTAAAAAATGGAACAACTTTTGATATTCACAAACATTTTCTGAATTTGCAAATTTTTTTTGAATCGGTGAACCTTTTGTTTTGAGTATAATTCTACTTATCTTTTTCCAATCTTTTTCAAAAAATATATTCCTGTTTTTTTATCCAGTTTCGATTATTCTCCTCGATAGTTTCTATCTTAAAATACATTGCCAACACAATAAAACTTCTCAGTTCCTTCTATTGAGATGAAAAAGAAAAAAATAGATTTCTATTCATAGACTTTAAAACTCAGAATAAATTAGAAACATTAACTAGAAATCTTGAATTCGGAACATTTTTTTAAATACATAAACTACTTTTGAATTCATGGTCATTTTTTAAATCTATAAATATTTTTTGAATTTGTGAACCTTTTTTCCAATTTGTGAACATTTTAAAAAAACATGAACATTTTTCGGAAATCCCAAACACTAAAAAGACAAAAGGAAAAACTAGGCGCCCCATCCCGAAATGATCCGGGCCAAAGCGTGTACGCATTGCACTACGGGTGATATACAGGTCCCATTGAATATGTCTTGCTTCCCTAGACATGGCATGACATGTGTCGGGTCTTTTATAAAAGTGCCATCCCATGCGGCCCGAAGGCTTGGCCACGGGGATTGCCCTGGCATGCCAGTTATAAAGGTTGGCATGACACCGCGTCGACTATGTCTCGCTTCAGTAAGACCGTAGGATGTCTCACTAAAGCGGCTACAGTAGTCGGGCTAGCCCATTTCACGCATAGTTAAGAAAAAGAGAAGAAAAAGGGAGAACGAGGGATCGAAGCCCTTAAGCTCCAGCAAGAGATCGATCGCCGCTAGCCATCACGCCCTGCCAATTGTTTGTGTTAAGTAGCGGGGGCGTGACTGACGTGGAGTTTCTCGTGTGAACAGTAAAATAAATAAAATAAAAACATTTCAAAAAGTTATGTATTTTTTATGGCACATTTTAAGAAATGTTTGTTGTGTATGTAAAAAATGATCACAAAATGTCATTGGTGGAAGACGTGGTAAAAAAATAAAATTGATGCTACGAAAAATGTTACTGTCAAACGCATTTTCAAGCTCTGATTTTGTTTTTGTTTTGCCAGGACTTCCACCAATCTAATTTAGTAATGAAATTTTACATGCACAAGAAACATTTTTTAAAGTATGCCACGAAAAAAATCAGAATTTATTAAAGTGTTTTTCTATTTTATTTATTTTACTATTCACACCAGGAGCATATGAGCTCAGGTGTAGAAAGGTACTTTCGGGGCACGGCCTACATGAAGCAAGTCAAGCTGGTTTTCTCTAGGATTTTTTTCTTTTTTTTTATTTTCTTTCCTTTTCTATTTTTTACCTTTTCTTTTGTGTTTTTTTCATTTGTATCTTTAGTTTTTATTTCTTTTCTCTTTGGTTTATTTGGTTTTCTTTGTTTTTATTTCTATACCTTTGTATACGTCAACAATAATTTTCTAATATGCATTTAACATCTTTTCAATACAAATCTAATTTTTTAATACATGATCAATATTTTTATACACATTTTTAAGATTTTCAAATGCTTGATTAACATTTTGCTAAATGCAATCTTAACATTTGTTGAACACATGGTCAATATTTTTTTCTATACAAATTAAATATTTTTCAAATGCTTGATTAACATTTTCCAAATACTTGTTCAACATTTTTTTCAAATGCTTGATTAATATATTTTAGATACATTATAGAAAAAAATTCATCATTTTTTAAATACATGATCACATTTTTCCTATACACATTTAACATTCGTCGAATGCTTGATCAGCATTTTACAAATACTTTTTCAACATTTTTTTCAAATGCTTGATTAACATTTTTATATACATGACCAAAAAATGTCAAAAAAATTTAATACATGGTGAACATTTTTTCTATACACATTTAACATTTTTGAATTGCTTAATCACCATTTTTCAAATACTTATTCAACATTTGGTCAAATTCTTGATTAACATTTTATCTACATAATAAAAAAAACCATCATTTTTTAATACATGGACAACATTTTTTCAATACACATTTCACATTTTTCAAATGCTTCATGAACATTTTTCGAGTACTTGTTCAAAACAATTCAAATGCTTGATTAACATTTTGTAAATACATGATCAAAAATTTTATACACATTTTTAATACATTTTTCATATATGTGATAAACATTTTTTCTATACATATTTGATATTTTTAAATGTTTGGTCAACATTCTTCAAATATTTTTTATAGAATTTTTGTAATATATATATAGAATATTTTAAACTATAAATAAAATAAAAATAAAGCAAAAAAAATGTAAAACCTAAAAGAACAAAAAAAGGAGGTTGTGTCTTCCCGCGCTCCTGGGCCGGTCCATCTTAGTCTCCACTTCTGCGAGGGTTCCTACACTCTCGCTGAAGGCGAGATATAGAGGCGCCCGTACGACACGACACAGCTACGGTTTTCTTTTTGGCTTGGTGGGCCGTTTCGGCCTTATGAGTCGCTCGGCCTTCTGGGCCTTTTGGTTTTTTAATTCAAATAATATAAAAATGTGTAATGAAAACATACAAGAAGATTTAAAATCAAGAAATATACATAGAAATATAGGGAAAAACTAGTTAAAAGCTCGACTAAAAAAGAAGCTAGGTGTCATATGGATAAATATTGAACTTTATTAGTAGCTACCTCATTAAAACCTTCCAGGTAAATATCCCCTTGGAGGAAAACCTTGGTTAGGAAAAAGAGTAGTGCAAAGTTTGCTCAAAATTACATATTACAACTATTTTTCTGGTTGTTCGTCGTCTAAATAAAGATTTTCAAGCATGAATGACAAATCTATGTTATTCGTATTGTGTTAGGCTCTCTGTGTGGCTAGTTCCCAATCTTCCATGATCATTAGTATCTTCGCCCTATGACTTGTGAGACTGTTTCTTTTCTCATCGAGTATTCTTCCGACTGGATTGAAAGTAAACTCCGATGATACCTTGAGCCGGGTACCGCTAACACATCTCGTGTTAATTATGGAAATCATCAGATATGTAAGTTTGTGATCATGCTCCCACTGCCATATGTTGGAAGTCATCGTCATTTTGTTCCACTAGTTGATTTTATCACTGTTAAGGTACGTTGCTAACACCCAGCCTCGTCACCTGTCATTACAACGCGTTGCTTTTGTTAGTGTTGAAGGGCTCAAGGAAGAGGAGGAGGAACCAAATATCTTTCCCCATGCTCCTTTCTTCTTTCTAGTTGTTGGTGCTAGCGGAGGCCTTTGCAACTAACTCTGACATGCTTCTAATTATACATTACCAAACCTTGCAAGTTTAGCCATATGATCAAAATAAATACAAATGCATACAA